ATGCTAGAAGAGGTACTATATGAAAAACATAGAGTACTGAAGTGATTTTACTAATATCCAATAAAATAGATCTTAAAGCGAAAGGTTAAAAACATTTTGTGATGCAAACCCTAGCCAGATGAGAGCTAGAATGGCTTTCCTAATAATGGAAAAATTAGATTTTTAGACAAAAATTTTTACTATAGAGAAAGATATTTTATAATGAAAGACATCCCATGTACATGGATCTTCTGATCTCACTTCATGTTGTCAGGATGACAGTACCTTCTAAATTGATTTTTTTTTTGGTACTGGGGATTGAACTCGGGACCTTGCGGTTGTGAGGCAGGCGGCAGAACCACTGAGCTAAATCTCTGGCCCTTCTAAATTGAATTACATGGGCCAGGTGTGGTAATCTCAGCACTTGGGAGACTGATGCAGGAAGATCACTGAAAGTTCGAGGCCCGCCTGAACTACACGGAGAGACCCTGTCAAAAAAAAAAAAATTGATGTACAGCAATCCTGCAACCTGGCCTTATGTTAGAAATTGACATGTTGGGCTGGTGATTTAGCTCAGAGGTGCTGCACCTGCCTGGCAGGCGCAAGATCCTGAGTTTGATCCCCAGTACCAAAAAAAAAAAAAGAAGAAATTGAATAGATCCTAAAATGTATATGGAAATTCCTAAAGGCCCAGAATTGCCAAAACATTAAAAATTTTATAAACAAAGAAAGCTAATATTTTTTTCCTCTATGGAGGGGTAATAACCTTTGGACTGAGGGACAACCCAACTCTTTTCATTACTTTTAAAATTTTAAGATGGGCTCTTCCTAAGTTTCCAAGATGGGACTTGAGCTTGAGATCCTTCTGCCTCAGCCTCCTTCATTGCTGGAATTACAGGCATGTGCCACCATGCCTGGCTGATAACTATGTGGTGTGATTAAAATATATGTTGACTGTTTGAAGTTTTAAAATTTTATTACAGTAACACATCGCTATTAATTACTGTCAGAATAACCTCCTTCACTCCAAACACACTTGCCATCCTTTCCACTCTCTGAAGCAGTTTTGAAAATCCTTTCATGAGTGGGTTTTTTGTTGTGGTTGTTGTTGTTTCTTTGTTGTTGCTGTTTGTTTGTTGAGACAAAGTCTTGTTCTCCAGCCCAGGGTGGCTTTGAACCCACTATGTAGCCCAGGCTGGCCTTGAACTTGTGGTGATCTTCCTGTCTCATCCTCCTAAGTGCTGGGATTATAGGCATGTGTCAACATACCCAAATGTGAATGTCTTTAATTGTTCTGTCATGGCTGCCTCAATGTACTGATTAAGTTGTCCAGGTTGGCCTCAAACTTGGAATCCTCAGCCTCCCAAGTAGCTGGGATTATAAGAGACGTCACACCTGGCAGTGATTAATATATGTTACATATGTGGACTGTAGAACAGTCTATGCCTGTTTCCTTTTTATTGCCTTTTGTGCAACAGTTGTCATTTTTTCCTACTGGTATGAATCCCATTAATATATTATTGTTGCTTTTGCTGTTCAGCTCTCTCCAAGTCCTTGGAAACCTTTGTCTATATTATAGCATGGCCTTTCTAGATGGTGTTGTAGTGGATTTTTCTTACATTAACACAGCTGAGCTGGAACATTTTTCCATATTTCCTTTTCTGTGTAGTTCCCTAGCCAGCCAGTGAAATTTTGGATAAGATTGGCAAGGTAAAAATGAAGCAGAAACTATATTCTTATGCTTGGGACATCAATACAGGCCAGTACATTGTATTGCAGCACATGCATGTTGTCACTCAGCACCTGGTCAATGCATGGTGAGCAGCTGAACCCAGTTCTCCTATTCCTGTTACATCTTCCTACTTCACTTTCTTTCTTTTTTTTTTTTTTGGTACCGGGGATCGAACTCTGGACCTTGCTCTTGTGAGGCAGGTGCTGGAACCACTGAGCTAAATCCCTGGCCCCCTACTTCAGCTTCTGTAACTCTTTGAATAGCTACATCTGTAGTTTGAGGGAAAAAAAAGTGGATACCACTTTTTCTTGCACACTGTCCCTATCATCAACATTGGAGACTTGAGGACACATCAGTGTACTCTCGACAGTTCTTATCAGTACAGGTTCCAGGCTAATTTCCTGGATTCCAATCTAAGAGTCTTTTTGTCCTTAACTTCTTTTTTTTCTTTTTTTCTTTTGGTACTGGGGGTCCTTGTGCTTGTGAGGCAAGCAGTGGAACCGCTGAGCTAAATCCCTGGCCCCTTAACTTCTTTTATTGTGTGTGGGGTGGAACACCGGGGATCAAACGCATGACCTTGCACTTGTGAGGCAGGCACAGTGCCACTGAGCTAAATCCCAGGCCCCTGTCCTTAAGTTCTTATTTAATAGCCAATGTTGTTGCCCAGCTCCTGCCGCTCCTAACTCGTAGCTCCTGACTGAGAAACAGCAACCTTAGATAGACTATTTAACAAACTCCGACAATATTCTCTTATTAACTAGCTTCCTGAGTAAATCCCTTATTATGTTTATCTGGGGTTGTTTTGTTTAGTTTTTGAGACAAGGTCTCGCTATGAGATTCAGGCTGGCCTTAAACTCACTGTGTAGCCCAGACTGGCCCTGAACATGAGGTGATTCTCCTGCTTCAGCCTACAGAGTGCTGGGATTACAGGCGTGCCCCACCATGCCTGGCTTAACTGCCTTTTAAAGAAATTGTTAAATGGTAAATGTTTTGCCAGGTGGGATTCTTGGTTGAAAGCTTTTTTCTTTTAGCCCTTTGACTATGTCAGCCTATTACCTTCTGACCTCCAAACTTTCTAATGACAAATCTACGATAATCATATGGGGAATTCTTGTGTATGAGGAGTTGCTCTTCCTTAGCTGCGTTCAAGATTGTTTTTGTTTTCAGTGTTGAGATTGAACCCAGGGCCTTGCATTAATAGGCAAGCCCTCTGCCATTAAGCCACATCCCCAACCCCTCAAGAGTTACAGCATTTTCAAGTATCAGTGTCTGAGTTCATCCTACTTGGAATTCATTAAATTTGGGGGGTGTTTACATTCATTTCTTTTATCAAATTTTTTAAGATTTTGGCCTTTATATTTCTTCTAATAATTTCTTTTCACATTTCTTTCTCTTTTTTTTCTGGAATTTCTGCAGTGTATATATTCGTCTGCTTGATGGTGACCCACAGGTCCCTTAGGCTGTATCTTTTAAATTTCTGTTCTTTATATGTAATAATTTCAGTTGTACTGTTTTCAAGTCTATTGATTCTTCCTCCTGCCTGCTTAAATTTGCCTTTGAATCCTGCTAATAAACATTTCAGTTGCTGTATTTCTTAAGCTCCTTCCAGAACTTCTTTTTTGTCATTTAAGTTTTCTCTTTCTTTATTCATAATTCCAGCTTGTTCACACATCATTTTCTTGACTTTTTACACATCTTCCTTTAGTTCTGTCTCTCTCTTTTTTTTTTTTTTTTTTGGTACTGGGGATCGAACTCGGGTCCTTGTGCTTGCGCAGCAGGTGGGAAAACCACTGAGCTAAATCCCTGGCCCTCTTTAGTTCTCTTTTTCTTTTCTTTTTTTTTGGTACTGGGGATCAAACTCAGGATCTTTTGTTTACCAGGCAGGCGTGGTGCCACTGAGCTACATCACTGGCCCTTCCTTTAGTTCTTTGAGCATTTTTAAGACAGTTGTGGATTGGGAATGTAGCTCACTGATGGAGTGCTTGTTTAACATGCAACCAAGCCCTAGGTTCAACCCTCAATACCACAAAGAAGAAAAAAAAAGTGGCTTTGAAGACTTGTTTCTAGCAAGACCACCATATGGTATTCATCAGGGAACATTTCTATTGTTTATTTTCACTTTACGTAGCCCAAACTGTTCCTGTTTTTTTTTTTTATATACTTTCTGATTTTTATTGTTGAAAACTGGATATTTGGGTCTAATATTGTACAACCTGGAAATTATATTCTCCCCTTCCCTCAATATATGATGATTTTGTTGTTGCTGCTGTTTGTTGTAGGGTCTCTATGGCAAGGATTACTCTGAGTTGTGAGTTTAGCATCTTTTCAGTTCTTTTTTTTTTCAAGTAGTCTCAGGTAACTTTAATAAAAGTGTCAGTAGTCCTTTCCACCACAGTGGTGTACACATGGCTGATCTCAAACACAGGATCACAGCTGCTAAGAGACCAGCCATCACTGAGGGTTAGGCTAGGCTGCTGCCAGGAATTGGAGCTTGCTGCTCTCAGGTCCCGAGGCAAGAAAGCATTGCTTCTTGCGTTGGAGTCTGGCCACCAGCCTTGTGGACAGTCACACTGGGCTCTGGGCCTTTACCTGCTTTGCAGAGGGAAGGCCAAGTCCTCCCCACTCCTGGAGAACACTATTTTTTCCAGCCTCACGTCCATGCTTTGCCAACCCACATGCTTTCGAGGCATGAGATGGCTTAATGGAGGCAGCCTTTTCAGGTCTTGTTGAAGCCTGCACATAAACTGCCTCCAGGCTTCTCCAGGAACACATACATAGCTGATTGCCTCAGGGTTGTGGGATGGGTAGCTGCTTTGAGATGAATTTGATGAAAATTAACCATGATTTATCTTCCATGTTTTTCCTGGAAAGTTACAGCCTTTAAATATAACTCAGAGTTTAAAATGATTACATCATACAGCTTTTTACAGTTGTTATCTACCTGGGAAGATAGACTCTTGCCACTGTCCACTCTACCATCTCCTTAGAATTCTGTCCTTGTTACTGTGTTCTGGAGTACTTTATACTATCTCTAATTATGAGATTTTCCATTTTCTCTTAATTATGCCATAGTACATTTACTTTTTCTGGTCAAGGAAACAAGGTATTTTTCTTTTCTTATTTTTTATAGATTTGGAGCCAAGTTATGAAATGATCAGCCATGGAAAGATGTACATTTATAGAAAAGATTCATCTCTTACTCTACATCAGGGAAATAAGTATGGAAAGAAACCCTATGAATGTAAAGAATGTGGGAAGGCCTTTAGTCGTCCTACACACCTTAGACTACATCAGATGATGCACACTGGTGAGAAGCCTTATAAATGTAAGGAATGTGGGAAAGCCTTTAGTCGTCCTTCAGACCTTAGAGTACATCAGAGAATTCACACTGGTGAGAAGCCTTATCGATGTGAAGAGTGTGGAAAGGCCTTTAGTCGTGGTTCGCACCTGACTCAACATGAAAGAGTTCATACTGGAGAGAAATCCTACGTATGTCATGAATGTGGGAAGGCCTTTAGTGAAGTTGGAAGACTGAAAATACATCAAAGAATTCATACTGGTGAGAAACCCTATGAATGTAGGGAATGTGGGAAGGCCTTCAGTCAAGCCTCAAACCTAGTACAACATGTTAGAATTCATACTGGTGAAAAACCCTATGAATGTAAAGAATGTGGGAAGGCCTTTAGTCACCCCTCACACCTCATTCGACATGAAAGAACTCATACTGGTGAGAAACCTTATGAATGTGAACAGTGTGGGAGAGCTTTTAGCAGTAGCCACCAACGTACTATACACCATAGACTTCATACTGGTGAGAAACCCTATGAATGTAAGGAATGTGGGAAAGCCTTTTGTGTCTATGGACGACTTACTCAACATCAGAGTATCCACAGTGGTGAGAAACCCTTTCAATGTACCAAATGCAAGAAATCCTTTAGGCTCAGTTCAGGCCTTAAAGTACATGAGAGTGTTCATACTGGTGAGAAACCCTTTGGATGTAACAAATGTGGGAAGTCCTTTAGGCTAAGTTCAACCCTTAAAGTACATCAAAGAATTCATACTGGTGAGAGACTTTATGGCATACATATATAAAAGATACTGTACAGTATATCAATGAATTGATACCAGTGAATTTATACCACTGAGAAACAATTGGAAGAGAATGTGAGAAGGCTTTTACATGTGCTTCAGTTTTTATAAAGAAATAATTTATACTGGTATGAACTCTTTGTGAGGTTAATAATGTTTGAAATTTTTAGTTATGACCTGAATGCTCAGATTCAGGGACTTTATAAAAGAGTTTTGTTTTATGGTATCCTTCTGTGTTTTAGTGTTTACCAGGTGGCTAAGCTGTGTAGCCAAGGTTCGAAAACAGATAAGTGCCAGGGAAGAGACTTAACACGTAACTTAAAGTTGTAGAAGACAAACAATAAGCACACCAGGCTCAGGTGGTACATTTAATCAAAGCAACAGGAAAGAGAGAGCACAAGGTCCTGCACCTTGCAGTATGTCACTACCCTTGACCATCGGATCCACTATGAAGCTGACACAGATGATGTAGCTGCACACATTCCATTTCATGCTGTTGTGGCAGAACCTCACTTCTCTCCCCCATTGGGTATGAAATATAGAATTCTATGAGTGTGGCTCAGGGCCATTGCTGCTTAAACAGCACAAAGGAATACACATTATGTCAGAAACAGGGAAAGACATTCCCACACAAGTTGCTAAGTTCAACATGTTGTTGGGACCCTTTATCTCTTGTTAAGGAAGTGTTCCAGGCCCAAGGCCCAGTCTTATGTGACCATGTAGAAGTTGAAAGACTGCATGAAGGAGAGTCCTTTTCCTAGTACTCTTTATGGATTATCAGATTATTTGTACTGAAGGAAAATTAAGAGAATGTTTAAAACCCTTGTTTTGTAATGTTTTATGTATAAAAGGCTTCCAGCAAAAATCATTTATTAAACTTGAGTCATATCACAAAAAAACCCCTGCTAATTTAACAGCAGGAGAGTGTTTAGCATTTATTTGTTCCTATCTAAATCATTATGATTGAGTTTCTGCTCCTTATGTCTCATTTGTTTATGGTTCTAGTTATGCCTTGTACCTGATTCAACTTAGATAGACAAAAATCTACGTTATGGTGCTATTAGAATTAAATCAGTTCATGTATGAGGAAAACATGGGAAATTGTTTAGCATATAGTTTGTGTTCAGTGCTCATTGGCTACTATTTCTAATTTTATTATTTTTTATTGGTAGAAGACTCTTATGAGATTAAAAACTTTATGAGTTTAATGAATTTAAGACAGTTTCATATAACTATCCTTTTTTGAATTTGAATTATTTTTCTTTAACAGTGCTGATAGAATGTAAAACACCGAGAACATCTTCATTTACATTTCTTAAGCTGAGTCAGATGCTTACATTTTTTTTTGGTACTGGGGATCAAACTCGGGTCCTTGTGCTTACGCAGCAGGCAGTAAAAACACTGAGCTAAATCCCCGACCCCCGATGCTTACATTTTTGAATGAAATTTAGATTTTTAGCTTTAGAAAGTATGAAAAAATTGAAATTATCCAGTAAATTGATTAGAAATTAGCCAAAGGGGACCTGAAGGTATAGATCTGTGGTAGAGCACCTGCCTGTCATGTTAGAGGCCATGGGTTTGATTCCCAGAAACCTCACACACATATACACACAAAATAGCCACAGTATATCCATTTTGCAATTTTAATTTCATTTTCAATTAAAAATTTTTGAGCACAGAAAAGTTGAAATAACAGTACAGTCAGGTTTCCATGTCCACAGGGTTCACATTTGCACATTGAACCTCAGATTGATAGTATTTGAAAAAACTGTGATTGTACTAAACATGTATAGAGTGCTGTTATTCTCTAAGCTATACATATAACAACTATTTACACACATTTGCATTGTATTAGGTATTATAATTAATTTAGTGATGATTTAAAATACAGTCATGCATTGCTTAGTAATGGGGATACATTCTGAGAACTGCATTGTTAGGTGGTTTCAGCATTATGTGAACATCATACAGTATATTTACACAAATTTAGATGATACACCCTATGACACACTAGGTTATATGGTACCACTTATTACTCCTAGGCTACAAACCTGTACAGTATATTACTGTCCTGAATACTGTAGGCAATTATAACACAATGGTAAGTATCTGTGTATCTAAACATACCTAGACATAGAAAAGGCACAGTAAAAATGAAGTATTTTGAGATAGTACACCTGTATGGTGCACTTACCATGACAGGAACTTACAGGACCGGAAGTTGTTCTGGGTAAGCCAATGAGTGAGTGGTGAGTGAATGTGAAGGCCAGGATATAACTATCCACTGCTGAAGACTTTATACACACTGTATGCCTAGGCTACAGTACACACAGTATTCTTTCTTTCTTTAATAATAAATTAACCTTTATGTAGACTTAAATTTTTTCATTTGTGTAATAGGTTTTGTTTTGTTTTGGTTTGGTTGAGACAGTCTCACTGTGTACTTCAGACTGGCCTTAAATTCACTGTGTAGCCCAGGCTTGCCTAGAACTTGCAGCAATCCTCCTGTTTTGGCCTCACAAGTGCTGGGATTACAGGCATGTGCCACCATGCATGGCTATAATAACAGTTTCAAACACACACATTGTACAACTATACAAAGCTTTTTTTTCGGTACCGGGGATCAAACTCAGGACCTTGCACTTGCAAGGCAGGCACGGTGCCACTCAGCTAAATTCCTGGCCCTGTATAAAGTATTTTTATACATCCTTTTATAAGCATTTTAAATTGTTTTTGTTTCTTTTACTTGTTTATTTTTTTCTTAAAAACTAATGTAGGCTTACATAGGGTTAGAATCATCAGTAGTTCTGTCTTCCACCTCCACATTTTGTCCCATTGGATTAGGGGTAATAACATGCAAGGAGCTGTCATCTATTATAACCATACCTCTGGAATGCCTCTTGAAGGATCTGCCTATCTTATACAGTTAACTTTTTTTTCTTCTATTCTGAGATTAAACCCAGGATCTTCCCCATGTTAGATAAACACTACCAATGCCCTTTTATTTTTTTCAGACAGGGTCTGGCTAAGTTTCCCAGGCTGGCCTTGAACTTACTATCCTCCAAGTTTGGCTTCCCAGGTAGCTGAGATTACTGGAATGTACCACTATTCCATTTTAAACTTTTTTTAAGTAGAAAAAGCATACTCTAAAATAATGACTAAACCTGAGTATGGTGGTATACGTCTGTAATCACAGCACTCTAGGAGGATGAGGAAGGAGAATCACAAGTTTGAGCCCAGACTGAACAAGTTAGTGATTAAGTGAGACCCTAGTTCAAAATAAAAGGGCCAGGGGTTTATCTCTGTGTGAAGACCCTGGGTTCAACCCCTGGTACTGGGAAATAAATAATTTTAAAATGATTAAAATTAGTATAGCCAGGCATGGTGGCATGTGCAAGTAATCCTAGCTTTTTAGGAGGCCAAGGCAGGAGGACTGCAAGTTTAAGGCCAACCTATATAACTTAGCAACACTCCCAAAATTAAAGGGGGGGGGCTGTGGATATACCACAGTGATAATGTGCTTCTGGGTTCAATTTCCCAATACCAGGAAAAAATAATCATCTGTTCTATATGCAGCCAATAAACTTTTGTTATGGATTTATTACACATTAAATAATAGTGCACATCAAAAACTCTAGTAAGTTGTACAGGTGTCTGCCTATAATCTCAATACTCTGGGAGGCTGGGGCAGGATCACAAGTTTGAGCTGGGGATGTAGCTCAGGTGAAGGTACTGAATTCAGTCCTCAGTACCAAAAAGAAATCCTTAAAGTGCACGTACTGGAATATTCACACTGGCTGTTATTGTACAAGTGTAAAAAGAAATCCTTAAAGTGCGCATACTGGAATATTCACATTGGTTGTTATTGTACAAGTGTATTATGGGTTGATTTGTCTTTTGGTTACTACTTCCAAATTTTCATAATACTACATTCTGGGGGGGTGGGGTACCAGGCATTGAACTCAGGTCCTCACACTTGCTAGGCAGGGGCTACGCTATAATATTAATTTTTATAAGTAAATTACCAAGGAATAACTATTTCACATTGCTTCTTTTTTCCTTCTATATTGTAAGACTTCCTGTAAGACCTAAAATTTCATGTGTTGTCCTAGTAACTTTGGGTCTCCCTTCAGGGTCCTAGATGCCTACCCATAACTTCCCTGCTGTCATCTGATAAGCCCTCCATCCAGCAAGAAGCACTTCCAACCAGTTAGTTGCCCTTAACCTACTTGGTTCTCAACCTAAAAGGGGTTACCCACCTATCATCCTGTGAAACTAGTGAAGCAAGACACTTGCATTCTCACATGGGAACCAAGGGACACCTTATCCTCTTGTTATTTCAGAGCCTGACTCTCACTGCCCCTGCTGCTTTACTCTGCCCCTAAGTGGAACCATTCTGCAGCGTGCGGTGACCTCCACCCTTTGGGATGTGAGTATGTGATTAATACTTTTTTTGAGACAGTCTTGCTGTGTAGTTTAGGCTGGCCTTGAACTCCCTATGTAGCTCAGGCTGGCCTCAAACTCAGAGCAAGCCTCCTGCCTCAGCTTGCACCACAGTGCATGGCATATGTGATTAACTGTCATCAGTCTCATCTGTCCCATATGTATTAGGTGTTTAGATACCTCTACAATCATAAAGCAAGACTGCCTCCATCACCAACAGGATAAAAAGGAGATGACAAAAACACTTTTCCAATTTTTTTTTTTTTTGGTAATACTGGGGATCACACCCAGGGCTTTCTCACTGAGCTACATCCCCATTTTCCCCTTTTTAAAAAATACTAAGACTGAGTCCTGCTACATTTCCCTGGCAATCCTCCTGCCTCAGCCTCCCAGAGTGCTGGGATTACAGGTATGGAGCACCAAGGCCAGCTTTTCCTACTCATTTTTACCAATATTACTGAGCTTTCAATATCTAGGGTGTTATAAAACTCACACTTCAAACAGAGGCATTAAATCAAATCAAATTAAATTCTCAAGTCTAGATTTTTGTTCTGGTTTGTTTTGTTTTTTGAGACAAGGTCTCATTATGTAGTTCAGGCTGGTCATAAACTCACTGTGTATCCTAGGCTGGCCTGAAACTTGAAACATTCCTGCTTCAGCCTACCAGATGCTGGGATTATAGGCATGTGTTACCACGCCTGGCTTTCAGCCTAGTTTGTATCCATTGTCTAAAGTTGAGCTATTCAAAATCTTAGAAATATGTCTGTGATTGAAAGATCACTTTACTGAGCCTACAAACCTAAAAGGAGTATTATTTCAGTGTTACACCATTTGTAAGAGATCAGGGTATAATTAAAGGTATAGGATCTCTATCAAGCCTTGACTCAAACAGGGAAAAGAACTCTTTGAGGTCATTTTTCAGGTTGGGAGAAAATAAAAGTAGAATAAGATGAACGGAGTCAAAATGATTTCTGATGGCTCAGGAAACACCCATATATTAGTGTAAAAATGTAAAATAGAACAATCATGAGAAAATGTGTCAACATCACAAGTTAAACTGCACATTGCCAATCCAATTAGAGAATTTAACATATACAAACATGAAAACTGATGTCTGTGCAGGAATATTAATTACAGCACTGCTTTTTGGAAAATAGGAAATTCCTTAATATACAGTAGAAGAAGACATGTTTCTTTTTTTGTTTGTTGGGGGTTTTTTTTGGTACCAGGGCTCAAACTCGAATCCTTGGGCTTGCAAGGCAGGCGGCAGAACCACTGAGCTAAATCCCCGGCCCAAGAAGACATGTTTCTTAAATTAGGCTGGATCCATACTGTAGCCTTTTGTAGCTTTGAAAATGATACTTATGTACTGATTCAGAACCATTTTTTTAGTTTAGTTTAGTTTTGTTTTTGGTACCAGGGATCAAACTCAGGACCTTGCACTTCCCAGGCAGACACGGTGCCACTGAGCTATATCCTTGGCCCCCGAACCATTTTTGTATGAAGATAATTACATGATTATATGCATATGACACATGTATTTGAAGTTATATGTGAATTTGCATATTCCATCAGGATTGCCATGGATACTTACTATTATTTTTCCATTTTAGATTTGAAAGCTTTTGAGGCAGGAGATTTTATGTAATATACACTGTTAGTGGAAAAACCATATTTCCAGGTGAGACAGAGTGGTTAAAGTGGGACTATTATATATTGTCATTGTAAAAATTGGAGAGTGAATGTATCCCATTTTCCCTTGCTAAGGGTTGACCTCATGGCCTCGTACATGCTAGGCAAGCCCTCCAACACTGAGATGCATCCCCAGCCCGTATTAAATTTTATTTTGAGACATGGTCTAAGTTGCTCAGGCTGGATTTGAGCCTGTGATCCTCCTGCATCAAACCTCACCAGTAGCTGGTGTTACAGGCATGTGCCACCCTGCCCAGGGTGTAGCTCTTTCCAAAGATCATTCATTGCAGGTGTTTTTTGAAAATTAGGAAAAATTTGAAGAATGTTTTCACATTATTATGCTAATATGCACATGTGCATATGTACGTGTATATAGATACATATATAAGAATACACATACAGAATGAAAAATTCTGGGTCCACCTTCAAGAACTTAACAATCACTAAAGCAAACAATCTTCCTTGCAGTCAAAGCACTGATTTTTTTCAGGGAGGATTCTCACAGGTCTGAAGGTTAGAAAAAAGCTCTAAAGTTTCGTTCTTTTAAATAACTGGTTCCAGATCAACCCAGACTTGCCTCTCAGTCCTCAGAAACCATGCCTGCCTTGGGCATCTGCGCTTGCGCACTCCAGGCACAGTCGGCCCCGCCCAGAAGGCTGTGACCCCGGGGGTGGGGGGTGGGCGCTGCTGCGGTCCTCCAGGGATCCTGGCACCTTTCCTTCCAGGTTTTGGCGACCGTGGACTTTTGTTTCCCACAGGGGACTGCGGTCCTGAATGATCTGGTGTGGACTACATTTCCCATAAGCAACCGAGGTGACGTCCACCTCAGGCTCTGTTTTCGATAACTGGGTCCTACCTGAGGGAGAAGTAGCAGTGGGTTGCTGTGGAAGAGACCCGTGGGCCCAGACGCGGCGCCTGTGGGGCCCAGTGTGGCGGTGAGAGCAGGTGGCGGGAATGGACACGCGCCGCGGCAGGAACTGGGCGGGAGGTGGTGGCATCTGTGGGAGACCGCGAGTTGGGCGAGGCTGCGTTCCTCGCGGTGAATGCGGTGTGAGACCGCGCAATATGTGGCTGGCCCTGGGTGACGGAGACACAGGGCGCGTGTCCTTCACGTGTGCGTGCGTTGGTGCAGTGGTGTGGTGAGCCTCTCCGTAACCCTCACCTGCAGGTTCCCTGCTGCTTCCTGTGTTCTCGCAGCCACTGTGACTCTCCACTGCTGCAGAGAGGTGTCTCTGAGTGGGGAGTCAGAAATTGAGTCCTGAATAATATTTTCCAAGCAGAAAGATACAGACGTGCTGCTAGGGTGGGAATTGTAGATGAGGAATTGCCCCTGAGACAGGGTCCTAGGAAAGAGAATTAGGAACCGGATTTCTACCTGTGAGTTCTCGGGTTCACGTATGTTTGAGAACTGTAGTGTTCCATCAGCTCTGATCCCAGGAACTGCTGTGAACTCTGCTACAGATTCCACCACCCACCACTACCACCTCTTCATACCCCTGCTTCCCGGCGCTGGGGATTGAACCTAGGGCCTTCCCACTCAGCTACATCCCCAGCTCTTTTTATATTTTGAAACAGGGTATCGATAAATTGCCCGGTCTGGGGTTAAGACTCAATAACTTCCTACAAGAGTGTATCACACACATTACCAGCTTCACTGGGCTGTATGTACAAGGGGTGCAGCTGTGAAAGATAGTAAATGCTCAGCACTGTACCTACCTGGGTCATTCCCCTTTAGGTTTCTGTAGATCAGAAGCAAGAAAATGAAATTAGGCCCGGGGATTTAGCTCAGTGGTTCCGGCGCCTGCCTCGCAAGCGCCAGGTCCCGAGTTTGATCCCCAGCACACACACACAAAAAAAGAAAATGAAATTAATTATATTGTGCTCTTGCAAGTTAATGGAGTATAGTAGTGGCTCAGTTGTTACAGGAGTTCTTAATCAGATATTCTTTGTCTGTATTTATTGGTGTACAAGGGACACAACCCCTTTGTAATTGTATGGATAAGTACTGTTTATATTCATAAATTTGTATTTTTCAATTTTACATAACCTAAAAGATTTAATCCTGGGGTTTTAAAAAATTTGGAATCAAAGATTATATCTTTGGGACAGTTTTATACAAATTTAGCCAACATCATGGGAATAGTTAAAATCACATCACATTAATTAGATGCAATATTTTGCAGATAATAAAATTTTTGTTTATATGAACCAGTCATTTACAGGTAAATAGCTATGATCTGTGTTAAACAGTGTTCATAATGTGGATAAGAGTACTGTACTCAAGAAAATTTTAAATGATGTATGCAGCTCAATTTTAAAAATAGAATTTTATAAAAATCTTTAGGAAATATTGTATCCAAAATGATATTTTAATTAGTTATGCAGAGAAAAATGGAAGGGGGATATATCACATTTATTGAGCATCTTCTTTGTTCACAAAACTTTTCTGTGTACTTGTCATACACATTCCTACCTACAAAATCCTTTTCCCTCTACTAATGGGAGAATCTTTGTAGTGCACTGTATCTAATTCTGTCAGTGCTGTGTAGCTAAAGGATATTCAACAACTGGTAAATGTTTCTGTCAATCACATTTATTTTTCATGGCAGATCTAGTATTTACAGATTTTTTTTTTTTTTTGCAGTACCGGGGATCGAACTCAGGACCTTGCACTTGCAAGGCAGGCACGGTGCCACTGAGCTATATCCCTGGCCCTACAGATTTTTTAAATGATGAAAATTTGGCCTTTTCTAATAATGATATCTATAAATAATTTTAATACTTTGAAATATCTTTATGTTGTATTATTGTGATGGAATTAGTGTAATCTCATTGCAAAAGAACTTCATTCCCAAAGGAATTTATGAAAAAGAAAGTAAGAATAATCCTTACCCTCCCTGCCTAGAGATAATGGCATTTAACATTTTTATGTATATGTTTTTAACTTTTCTGGGTTTGTATATGTCCAAAGTTTGTATACTTTTGTTTTGGCATAACAATTGATCAAGTAAAGGAGGCAAATGAGAGTTCTCTTAATTTGAAAAAAGAAATCTATACAAATTATAGGTTTGCTTATACTTTTGTGTATGCCTAGAGAACAAGAAAGTCCCAGGGATCTCCTTGTTTGAAAAAAGTTCTAAATATTTACACATTTCAGATATTAGAAAAGTTATTTAAAATTTAATTAATTTATAGTATCCTTTCAGAATAAATAATTTAGAGTATTAAGGTTACTTTCAGAGAAATAGCACCAATATCTGATGTTCAGATGTCTTGCAAACACAATATTTCCAAAGATTATAAATTTATAGTCACCCAAATCCCCATATTATGAAAGAATAAGATTTTTTAACATTCTCCATTTTATCAGATCCTCTTCTTTGAACTGATTTTAATGCTCCTGATGTTTTTCTTGATCTTTGTAGGCTGGGAACTGAGGAATGGAATATTGTTTCCTTTTCTGTCTGATAATCTCTTTTTCTCTCAACTAGGCACTGGTTTATTTGTTTCTTTATTTGTGCTGGGGCTTGAAGACAGGTTCTTGCCTAGGCTGTACTTTATTACTGAATTATATCTCAGCCAGCATTAAAAGTTTAAAAACTGGAATTATAAGCAAGAAAAAGCCCAAATTTTACTATAAGAAAAATAGGAAATGGAATTAATTCATTGTAGATACTGTATTAAAGAACATATAATGATATTCATCTTCAATAATGATAATTTACATTAGCCAGCATGATAGACTGCTGGGGATGCAGCTCTGTGGTAGAGTGCTTATCTACCATGTATGAAGCCCTGGGTTCAATTCCTAGTAATGGGAGGGGAAAAAAAGATATACGTTGTAGTTTTTTGTAGTTGTTGTTGTTTGTTTTTAGAGACAGGGTCTCACCATATAGTCCAGGCTGGCCTCAAACTTGTGGCAGTCCTCCTGCCTTAGCCTTTCAAGTGCTGTGTAGTATTTATATGGACTACCTTATTCAGTTTTCAAAACAACCATATATAGTAAGTGATGTTCTTATTTTTTCTTTGTTAAGGTAGAAACAGTGACATTGAGGTGTTTTTTACTCTCTGAGCTTAAAGCTCATTTTCTTTTCCTGAGAGTGACAATAGACACTGTATTCTTAATTTCAGTTTAGGAGTGTATCATCTCCTAAACTATACGTATCTTTGTAAATGTACCTTTTTTGCTATGTTAATGTTTTCCACCATTTAGTTTGAATTATTGTTATTGTTCCTATTAATGGTATAGTATTATATAGCAGACCATAATATGTTAAACTGGTTGCCTACTGTGAAATATTCATGGTTTTTTGTTATTAAAATTATTGTCTCATGAACATCTTTATGCATATTCATATTCTGTATGCTTTTATAGTTATTTCCTTTTTAAAATTTCCTAGATACTGTGGGACATAGTGGCACACATCTGTAATCCCAGTACTTGAGAGGGTGAGGCAGGAAGATTACAAGTTCAATGCCAGGATGGTAACTTAGTGAGACTGTCTGAAAATTAAAAATAGAAAGGCTGAGGATGTAGCTCAGTGATGGAGCCCCAGGGTTCAATCCCCAGTGCTGAAAAAAATTATATGATGTGGAGTGGTTAAGAAAAAAAGCAGACTTTTGTTAAGTGTCTACAGTATGTTAGACTTGGAATTTGTAGTGTTTGGGGCAATATAATCTCTAAAGTAACATAGTTATTTCCTTTAAGATGTTTTTTAGGGTCTAGGGATATAGCTCAGTGGAGGCATGTATACTGAGCATGCATAAGGCCTTAGGTTCTATCTCCAGTACGACAAAACACACAAATCAATGAAGGTAAAATATAAATAAAGATAAGTGTATGATGAAGCAGAGGATTAGTAATCTACCTTGTGAATTCATTGGAAAAATACTGTTGTCTGTCTTTAATAACAGGATAGGAACAAATTATACTACTGTGCAATCTCTGGCAATAGTAAATTGATTTTTTGGTCTAAATTTTTTGTGGTACTATAGATTGAACCTGGGGGCCTTCTACCATTGTGATACATCCTCAGTCATTTTTATTTTTTATTTTGTAACAAGGTCTCACTAAATTGCCCAAGTGAGACTCAAACCTGCAATCCTTCTGGCTCAGCATCCCTCAGTGCTAGGATTACAAGCATGTACGAATATGTTTGGTTTATAACTTTTATACCTTACAGTTTTTCTTCTAATTAGGTTAGATGCAAAGTGAAACTAATGGGATAATATAATTTGGTAGCTATGTGGGACACATCATGCTTTGACTGAGAGCTTTAGAAGCATCATTTAGTGGCTGAGGAGGTAGTCAGGACTAGAGCACTTGCTTAATATATCTAAGACCCTGGATATAACCCCAGCACCACAAAAAGAAGAAGAAGAAAAAAAAAAGAGCTAGAAACATCATTTATACAAGAGATTAGTTAGGCACCATACCTGAGATGAAATGATTGAGTGAATTCAAATATTGGGATCCAAAGGAAATAAAGAGAACATAAGCCATTTAGCAAAACAATCTAAATTTAGAAACAAAAAAAAATATTTTTTTCTCTTGGTGTTATTAGGGGTTGACTCCAGGGACATTCTATCCTTGAACTACAACCTCATCCCTTTTAGGTTTGTTTGTTTTTGTTTTTATTTTTTTGGTACTGCAAACTGAGCTCAGGGCCTTCATGTTGAACAACATCCCCAGCCCTTTTTCAATTTTTTAAACTTTGAGATACGGTTTCACTGAATTTCTCATACTGGAGCTTAGATTTGTAATTCTTTTGCACTCCCAGAACGCTGGATCATAGGCATGAACCAGCTGGCCTAGGGGTTCTTTTTTATTTTTAATGGTACTGAGGATTGAACCCAGGACCTATGTGCTGAGCAACATTCCCAGCCCTTTTAAATTTTTTAGTTTGAGGCAGGGTCACCCTAAGTTGCCCAGGCTGGGCTCAAACTTGTGATCCTCATGCCTCAACTTCTGGGTAGCTGGGTACAGGTGTGTGCCACCATACCCACCTTGAATTTTCTTGGTCTCCCTTTTGAAGAACATTTTCCTGTTAACAAAATTTTAAAGATACATGTATCTTTCAAGTTATCCTCTAGTAATTACAACAATAATCGTAGAAAAAGCTTTTAAAAAATCAAGATCAGGGCCGGGGTTTTAACTCAATGGTTCTGCCACCTGCTTCGCAAGCACAAGGTCCTAAGTTTGATCCCTGATACCCCCCCCCCAAAAAAAATCAAGATCAAAACAAAAACACTGTTAATAGATGAACATACAACCTCCTAAACTTTTCTATTTACTGATTTCAGTTGTCTGCCTGCTACTCGTTCTCTGTCTTTGATATATTCATGCATTTCACAACAATAATTACATGGTCAACCTGGTTTTTTTAAATTAACTATCTAGAATATTTTCCATGATTTTAAATTGTTTTCCCAACCTCACATTTTACATCTACTTTATATTCTAGTACAATGATAGTATGTCATATATTTAAGTAGTAGTCTTTGCTACATTCATAATACCAAACACTGCCTTTCTGTCTCTTAACCAACTCCACCCAATTCTGAAGCCCTACAAGAGGTTCTAATTTGGATAATGAGGGCTCTTTTCAGTCTTGGAAGGTAAGAATTGAAGGAAAAGGATCTGCTTAGCAGAGAACTGTGCTGCCTAATCTTGAGTCTATGTATCTGATTTACCAAGATCACACAGTGGCCAGAAAACTCAGTAATGGGTCATGTAACATTCTGTGTTCAATGCAGAAATGCCTATCTTCTGTGACTGTTCAATGGAGACTTTTGTGATTTGGACTTACTTAGAACCCTCCTTGGCTCAAATTGTATGTGATGTGAAACAGTCTGGAACTTGGAGTGGAAGAACATAACAGCAATATTAAGTAAATTAAATTCTGTTAGGAACACTAAAGCAAAAATGATCTCAAGGTCTTTTTCTTTTCTCAGCTCCAACTTTCTAGATCTGTGTGTTTTTACTAAAGGAATCCTGAAGACCAGTCCACTCTTACAGGTCTAAAACCATGGCACATGTAAGTTGATGTTTCCTTGTTGAAATTTTTTTTGTTTTTGGGTTATGCCAATATTTTCATTAATTTTCCTGAAGTTTCTCAGTAGGAGAAATTTCCCATCAAGTAACCAACAGAGGCATCTAGAAGCATCTAGCTCTTATTCATCCACTGAACTGTGATTCTAGGTTACCCAGCATTCTCCCTGTATGGCCCACTCTAAATTTACTAGTTGGTGTAGGGAAGTAGAGTGCTTGCCTAGCATGCAGAAAGCCCTAAGTTCCATTCCCAGCACTGACAATAAATAAATAAACTTACAAATGTTCATCTAATTAGTGAGGAAATTATTCAGCATGTCTTAAGTGCCCATTCATTTATCAAGGGCAATGATGGATTGAAGTTCTTTGAAATAAAGATTTATACCTTCTGGGTCAAGTCTGGTTTGGTGGGTTAGAGACAGTTGTATTTGATGTAAAATGTAAAATGTCACAGACTTGAGATTGCCAGATAATGAAGGAGGAAATTTGCTATTGAATGACCAAATGTCTGTAGAGTAAGAGTCCATACTTTATGTGGATTAGTAGATGATTGGCACTTGCAAACTTGAAGGTTGTGGATCTTGGCAGGAAATCCCTGAGATAAGTATCAAGACTACAGTATTCTTTTTTTTTTTTTTTTGGTACCAGGGATCGAATTTGGGACCTTGTGCTTGCAAGGCAGGTGGTGGATCCACTGAGCTAAATCTCTGGCCCTACAGTATTCTATTTTTAAGTGGAACTTACTGAACTTGGGTGAAATGTATTCATCATCCTTCTTCAATATTCTTTTTTTTGGTTCTGGGGATCGAACTCAGGACCTTGTGCTTAGAAGGCAGGCGCAGTGCCACTGAGCTAAATCCCCAACCCTCTTCCTCAGTATTCTTTAACTCAATGTATTTTTTATCTATAACTATAAAGAATATTAATGACCTTTTTTTGGTAATGGAATCTGCTATGCTATTTAGACTTGTCTCAAACTCCTGAGTTCAAGGGGTCCTCCAGCCTCAGCCTCCCAAGTAGCTAGGACTATAGGCATGTATCACCAAACACACCTGGCATAACCTGAAACTTAATGGCTTAAGATAGTCAATATTTATCTCATAGTTTTTGCTGGTCAGACATCTAGACTGACTGAATTTGCCTCCTGACTGTGGGTCTTTTATGAAGTGATCAAAGTATTGGTCAGGGCTGAACTTATGCTCAACTTAGGTGGATATGTTGCCAAGCTCATTCAAGTGGTTGTTAACACTTCCTCCTGGGCTGTTGGTATGAGGATCTCAGGTCCTCATAAGCTATTGACTGGAGGCCGTTCTTGGTTTACTATCATGAGGTTCTGTCAGTAAAACAATTTAAAACCTGTTAGCTGCTGGCTTTACCACTGAGCAATGAGACACCAAGAGAAGGAAAGCAATATGGAATTTATAGATTTTTATTACCTTTATCAAATGTAGCATCTTAGGAATTTAGCTGTTTATTAAAAGCAAATTACTCAGCCTACATACAAGGGAACAAGATTCCAAAAGAACATAATCCTGAGACATGGGATGATCAATAACTTATGTTAAAGCTGTCTACCACATTCAGCTAAACCAGGTGTTCAATGAAAGATGGTAGATGGGCACAAAAAAGAATATCATTATATAGAGTATGTGAAACACAGAATCCTAAAATTGAGGAAGACTGCATAAATACTGTACATCTTAATTAAATAAATGATTAAATCTGATATATCCACATAATACAATCTCGTAGCAAAAAAGACAGAAAAGCATATAGACGTACCAAAACAAGAAAAATGCTGATGATAATATCTGACATAATGTAGTATTTAAAATCATAAGAATTCTTAACTGTGAAATTCTTATTTTCCAAAATTGAGAATTTACGTTCTGAAAAAATACTCAATTTTTTTTTTTTTGTACCAGGGATCGAACTCAGGTCTTTGCGCTTGCACAGCGGGTGGCAAAACCACTGAGCTAAATCCCTGGCCTCAATTATATTTTTATCTTCTCTTGAAAGCAAAAAATTTCCCCAGCAACTCATTTATTTCAAAATATATGAATTATTGGCACAAAAATAGACATGAGGACCAATAGAACAGAATAGAGGAGGCAGAAACAACCCAAAGCACATTCAACTATTTGATCTTTGACAAAGGGGCTACAAACATATACTAGAGGAAAAATAGCCTCTTTAATAAATAGTGTTGAGAAAACTGTTACCCATATGCAGAAGATTAAATCTAGACCTATGTCTTTTACAATGTACTAAACTAACCTGAAAATGAATAAAGAACTAAATGTTAAAATAGAAACACAAGCTGCTGGAAGATAAAATAGGTGAAACTCTTGAAGTTACAGGCATAGGCAAGGACTTTCTAAACATATAACTCCAGTGGCACAAGAAATAGTACCATGAATTAACAAATGGGATTATGTCAAATTAAAAAAGTTCTGCACAGCAAAAAAAACAACCAACAGAGTGAAAAGATAATCTACAGAATAGGAAAATATTTTTGTCAGCTATTCCTCAGACAGGGGACTAATACCTGGAATATATAAAGAATTCAAAAAATTAGACCTCCCCCAAATAAAAGACTCAATCAGAAATGGACAAGTAAAAAAAAATGGGCAAGTGAAATAAATAGACACTTCACAGAAGAAGAACAAATGGCCAATAAATACATAAAGAAATGCTCAACATCATTGGCCATTAGAGAAATGGAAATTAAAACCACATTGAAGCCAGGCATGGTGGCACATAATTGTAATCCCAGCATGCAGGAGGCTGAGGCAGAAGGATGGCCATGAGTTCGAGGCCAGCCTGGTTTACATAGTGAGTTTAAGGCCAGCTTGAACTACACAGTGAGACCTTGTCTCAAAAAACCAAAAATAAAAAATAAATAAATAAAACACTGAGATTCCAACTTACACCAGAAAGAATGGCCATCATCAAGAAATCAGATAATAACAAATGCTGGCGAGGCTTTAGGGGAAAAGGAACCCTTCTATATTGGTGGGAATGTGTACTACTACAGTCAATGTGGAAATCAGTATGGAGATTCCTCAAAAAACTAAAACTAGAAATTCCATTTGACCCAGCTATTCCCCTTCTAGATATCTTCCCAAAAGAGTTAAAATATCATATTACAGTGATACATGCATATCCATATTTATAGTAGCATGATTTGTAATAACTAAATCTTGGAAGCAGCCTAAATGTCCATCAACAGATTAATGGATAAAGAAATCTTGGTATGTACACACAGGGGAGCACTACTCTGCACTAAAGAAAGATAAACTTGAGTCATTTGTAGGAAAATGGGTGCACCTTGAGACTATAATGTTAAGTGAAATAAACCAGACACACAAGCTTAAATATAGCATGATTTCTTTTATATGAGAAACCCAAAATATAAATAAAGAGCAAAATAAGAGATAGATAATAGGAAATAGGGAGATAGACCTTTCTCAAATGGGAATGGGATCAAGAGATGGAGGGAGGGAAGGCGAAGGAGATGAAAAAAGGAATTAAGATGTGCTATGTACATGTACCAACTCCCCACAAGGAATGTAAATATGTTCTGCAAACATGTACTAATAAAAAATAGATTTAAAAAAATAAAAATATAGATGTGAATGTATAGCTCAGAATAAAGTACTTGCCTTACATGCTCAAGTTCCTAGATTCAATCCCCAGCACCCAACAAACAAAAACAAGGGCTGGGGATGTAGCTCAGCGGCACAGCACCTGCCTAGCAAGTGTGAGGCCCAAAGTTCAATTCCCAGTACCAAAAAACAAAAACAAAAGCAAAAACAAAATTGTATGTGGCAGGCACCAATCAGATATTTTACTTATATTCACTATTTAATAGACAAACATTATTTATCTATTCCAAGATGTTTTAGATATTTAAGAATATGCTGCTTGGTTTTGTTTATATCAGCAGTTTTGTTTAAAAATATTCTACATTTTCTCTTTCAGTCCCCTCCCATATTGCAGATTTGTAGCCCACAGGCTTGTTACATTGCTCTCTTTACGTATTCCAGTCTATATATCCTTTCTGTCCATCTTTAAAACATTCTTTAATTTTTCAAGTAATATATGGATTTGCCATTCCAGGAATCAGTGACATTCAGGGATGTGGCCATAGATTTCTCTCAGCAGGAGTGGGAATATCTCAGCACTTTTCAGAAGACCTTATACCAGAATGTGATGATGGAGAACTATGGTAATTTGATCTCACTAGGTATGTTTTCTACCTCAAATAATGTAGGATAATTTAGAATCTTATCTTCACAATACGTGTTTTTTCTACTCTGATTTTCAAGGGTAGCCTCTTAAGAAACTAAATTACTTTTCCCCTTTTCTCAAATAAGTGGTTTGAACTTTGTTAGTATAAAAATTACGACTCCATTATAAATGTACTCATCCTCCCTTTCAGTGATATTCATGCTTTCTCTGGTCTCACTTAGAGTTGCGTTTACACAAGAACTAGATTAGGATTTTGTGGCATATATCATACAACCATTGCTAAAGGAGCCAGGTTTCCTATTTATTATGCTCAGAATTAGTGTACATAGTACATTATCTAATCCATTTGCAGGGAGAACAGCTTGACAGTGTCCTAGATGGTTGTAATTATTGAAAGAACCTCTACAATTTATATAGTGATGGACTGAATAAATGGAATTCATTTAAATCTGAAGCAAACACATTTCATTTCCTAAGACAAGTTTCATCTGATTTGTTGAAAGTTGTAATATATGAACATTACATTTGTAAAAGTAATGTTGTAAGCACTTTAAATATATTACACACACATACAGAGATTGACTGATTTAATTCTTATTAAATCCAGTAACCATTTTCAGATGAAATACTGAGGCAGAGTGGGTTTAAGAGACTTGCCCAAGATTCCACACAGCTAGAAGGTAGCAAAGTCAGGGATTGGTAACAGGCATTAAGGTCTGTATTTCAGTTACATGCTCTCAAGTTGTATGTATGCTCTCAAGAAAAAGAGGATATAGGTGTGTAAATTATGCTTAGAAAAATCTTACCCTATGTAACTGATTTCTTATTTTTTAATTTCCTCACCTTCTTTTCTCAAAATTTTTATTTAATATTGTTTTGACCTTTAATTTATTATAATTTTAAGCAAACTACTTTTCTATATCATGTGGCGTTTTTTTCTTTGTAAACAGGCCATTCTATTTCTAAGCCAGATGTAATCACATTATTAGAGCAAGGAAAAGAACCCTGGATGGTTGGGAGGGAAGAAACGAGAAAATTGGGTGAAGGTAAGTAAGACTAAATCTGGCTGTAGAAAGCCACCTGTGTAGCAACAGCTCAACTGGTCAAGGAAGAGCCACATACTTGGAATGTTGGTTGGAAATCTCCATTCATAGTACAGAAAAGGCTTATGATCTGGAGCAGAGATAAAAACTGTGCATGAGCTAACCAGTGTGCTTTTTCCTCACCCCCTCATATTTGGGAAGTTTTCAGCCATTATTTCTTCAAATAAGTTCTCTGTCCCTTTCTTTTCTTTCTAGAATATATATTTTCTTTCTATATAGATATAGGTCTGCTTGATAGTATCCTTGAGTCTATCAGGTTCCTTTTTAAAACATTTATCTTTCTTTCTTTTTTTTTTTTTGGTCATTTGATTTGATTTCAAATTGTCTGTCTTAAAGTTTCCTAATTCTTCTGCCTAATTAAATCTGTTGAATCCTTCTAGTGAATTTTAAAATTCATTTATTGTTTTTTTCAGCCATTATTTGCTCCAATATTTTTCCTTCCCCAGTCTCTTTTTCCTTTTCTCCCATTCTTATCTTTTATATATTCCCACAAGTCTTGGAGCTCTTTTATTAAAAATTGTATCCTACGTTATCTATAAATTTTAGCTTGGATAGGGCTGGGGATTTAGCTCACTGGCTCCACGCCTGCTTGCAAGCATAAAGTCCTGAGTTCAATCTCTGGTACCAAAAAAAAAATTAGCTTGGATAGTATCTATAGAAGCTTACTAACTCTTTTGTCATTTTCATTCTGTTATAAAAGCTCATCCAGTAATTTTAGAAATTAAATTGTTCAATTGTATAATTTCTGTTTTTTTCCTTATATGACTTCTTTTTGCCTAGTTATATTTCCTGACTTTTCTGTCATTTCAAATGTCTGGCTTTTTAAAAAAAGTTTAAATCTCATAGAATATAGCTAAAATAGCTACTTTCAAGTCTTTGATAATTCCACATCATAGACATCATTGGCTTAGCATCTGTAGTCTTTTTCTTCCCTTAAGAGTAGGACCCATTTTTTGTGTATATTCTTTGTATGCTGAATAATTTTGAATTGCTCTTTGTATATTTCTGAGGGCTGTTTTGTCAATTCTGGGTTCTGTTCATTCCTTTGGAGACCATTATGCTGACATTTTTAATTTATCGAGTAATCAGATCAGTAAAATTTAGAGAATGATTTTTGTCTAGGTGGTTTAGTTCTGTTTGGTTCTGTAAGACTTGGTTACACTAGATTGTGTCCTCTTATGGATGAGTTATTTAGTGTTAGTCTAAGATTTGTGCTAGTACCTATCTAAAGTCCAGAAATCTCCTTCTCTAGATGTCCCTTTATTCCTTCCTCTTTTCTGTTTATTATGGTTTCTTACCTTAATTTCTTCAGCAAGAAATATGTTGGAGGCCGGGGATTTAGCTCAGTGGTTTCGCTGCCTGCTGTGCAGGTGCAAGGACCCGAGTTCGATTGCCGGCACCAAAAAGAAAAAAGAAAAAAGAAGTATGTTGGGATTTTGCTGCCCTACTATAACTGGAGCCCACATTTGTTTTTTGTTTTTTGTTTTCTTGGTACCAGGGATTGAACTCGGGTGTTTGCACCTGCACAGCAGCTGGCATTACCACTGAGCTAAATCCCTGACCCTAGTCACATCTGTCTTTGAAGCCTTTGTTTCTTTTGCAGATACGATTTCTTTACTACATTACTCTCCTGCTACATTTCTAAATTGTCCTTTATTTGCCTATCTAGTATCTTCACATTACATCTTCTAGTATCTAGTGTGAAGATTAGTATTTAGAAATTAAATGTAGGGATCCCAGGCTCCTAGGGCAGAGAAGCTCAGCCGGTCCCAGCACCTGGAAGGAAGCTCCCCTGCCGCCATCCCAGGCTCCTAGGGCAGAGAAGCTCAGCCGGTCCCAGCACCTGGAAGGAAGCTCCTTGCCAGCATCCCAGGCTCCTAGGGGAGAGAAGTGAGCTGGTCCCAGCACCCAGAAGGAAGCTCCCCGCCTCCATCCCAGGCTCCTAGGGCAGAGAAGCTCAGCTGGTCCCAGC